CACCGTTAACAGCTTCTTGTGTGTTCTTTGAGATATATTTGCTCAGGTATAAGTCAGTTAGCCTGCCTACCTGCCTCCAGGTGAATTCACACAGATGGGAGCTCATTCTACACCGTTTTCCATCTTGCTGTTTATCACTTAAAGTGTGCTTAAGAACCTGCCTGATTGGCCCCCAAAAGGTTGCCGCCTCCTACTCCCTGCAGCGTAAATTCCTGGGTATGGGCGTGCATGATTCATGGAGCAGTCCCCTGCTGGGGAATATTTTATCGGCTCCAGTCTTGCCTCAGTGGGTGACCTTGAACGTATGCCCTGGGGCACATGAGTGAGAGCAGATCTGTAGGAGACGTTCCCAGAGTCTGCTGGTTCAGAGGGTGTGTGCGCATGTGCAGCTTGGATGCTCTGACCCAAGTATTCTCCTTGAGGGTGTGTTCGTTCATCCTCCAGGGATGGGGTGTGGGGCTGCCCGTTGCCTCACTCCTTTGCACCCCACTGGAGGTGCTCAGGCTTTCAGATTGCGCCTGTCTGATTGGTGAACATGGTATTATCAGGAGTGAACTTGAATGTCTTTTCATGTGACTAAGGCCCACTTCTAATTCCTTTTCTGTGAATTGCTTTATCAAATCCCATTTTCCTGTTTGGTGGTGACCATGACGGTTTTAATTTTTAAAGTATCTGGCCCAGATAGGTGATATGGGAGCTCTCTCTCTCTCTCTCTTTCTCTTTCTCTCTTTCTTTCTCCCTCACTGTCTCTCTTTCTTTTGGAAGTTAGTGTATTTTTAAATTGCTGTTAATATTCATCTGGTTCTATTTCATGATGGATTGAATTACCAAGTATCATCAGTAGAGAAGATTATATTTGAAATTCAGGTAATTATTAGTATCTACTCACGAGGTAGTTTGTAAATTTACATAAGATACTTAGGGAATTCTCTGCTTATAAAAATTCATAGCTATAGTTTTCCATTTCCACACTTGGTTAACTATGTGGAATACTAGGCAGCAGTTAAAAAGACTGAAATGAGCCCTGGCCAGTGGCTCAGTTGGTTGGAGCATCATCCTGTGCACCAGAAAGGTTTCGGGTTTGATTCCTGGTCAGGGCACATACCCAGGTTTGCAGGTTCCATCCCTGGCTGGGACATGTGGAAGGCTTCTGATAAATGCTTCTCTCTCTCTCTCTCTCATCATTAAAAAAAATAAACACATCAATATCTTTCTCTCTTTCCCTTCCTCTCTCTCTAAAATCAATGAAAACAGATCCTTGGGTGAGGATTAAAAAAAAATTTTTTTAAAGGATGAAATAAAGCTGTTAACACAGAGTGTCTCCAGAGTATAATGTTGAGGGGGGCGGGGGGTAAGGCAAATTGCAGAAAATTCATACAGTATATGATACCCTTTATGTCTAATAAATAAGAGAAGCCCCCCAATGGCCCATTTCCTCTGAGTGTACATATGAGTTTAAATCCACAATAAAGGTCCCGGAGAGAGACACCCCAATAGCATGCTCTCAGGGCTGAGGCGTCATCTCAGGGTACATAAGTCTTATATGTAATGTTATTTTCACTAGAACTCATCTATTGGTGTAATTAAAAATAATGTGTGTTTTTTTGCCCTAACCAGTTTGGCTCAGTGGATAGAGCGTCGGCCTGCGGACTGAAGGGTCCCAGGTTCGATTCCGGTCAAGGGCATGTACCTTAGTTGTGGGCACATTCCCAGTGGGGGGTGTGCAGGAGGCAGCCGATTGATGTTTCTAATCTCTATCCCTCTCCCTTCCTCTCTGTAAAAAATCAATAACATATATTTTTTAAAAATAATAATGTTTTGTAAACTCTGCGGGATAGCAGATGGGTTTGTTCAGTGCAGACCAGACTGTGAAAGGCAGTGTTAAACCAGATATAGGCAGCCACCACGGAGCTCTGGAGACACCTGGGAATTGTGGGTCTACCGGCTGATCAAGTTTTGGCTTCTTAGATTCTGACAGGCGAAGACTGGAATGCTGTGATGTATGACGGCATCATGGCGTACGGGGGCCCGTCATCTTCAGGGATGATCGTCTGCATCTACTTCATCATCCTCTTCATTTGTGGGAACTGTATCCTTTCGCTGACCAGGGTGTTGCTGTTGCCCCTTCTTGTTTGGTTTCTCCCTCTGACTCTCCCCATGGTGGCGTGGTGGCTGTTGTGATGGGGAGGTGAATGCCCTTACCCTGTTCTATCTGCTCTCCTTCATGGTTGCTGGGTGAGCAAAGGAGAGGCAGCGTCCCAGTGAGGCCCTGCAGGATGAGAGCAGGCTCAGAGGAGGGAGCCAGAGACAGTGCCTGGACTGCAGCAGTGGTCGCCCCTCGAGGTGTCGCATCCTCTGTGCAGGTCCCATGGGATAGCTCAGGGCAAGGCCAGGTGGCTCTCCGTGCCATCATCCTTGGGAAGCTGGGGCACAGTTATATCTTCTTAAGACCCCTCATAACTGATGGGGACTTACCTTCAGTGGGCTGAACTAAGCTCCCGTAAATCTAACTTTACTTTGCTGACCTGTCCATCTTTGAAAGTCAAATATCCATTGGTTGATTGCTGTATCATGCTGTATAACTTCTGCAACGTGTTTATTCCTTCTCCCTACCAAGAGGTACTCTCTAACCCAGCCATGGGCAAACTACGGCCCGCGGGCAAAAAAGACCGTAACCTTTTATGTAATGATGTTTACTTTGAATTTATATTAGTTCACACAAACACTCCATCCATGCTTTTGTTCCGGCCCTCCGGTCCAGTTTAAGAACCCATTGTGGCCCTCAAGTCAAAAAGTTTGCCCACCCCTGCCCCAGGCTTCTGGAAACTCAGGTCTCCCTTTACCTTGATTGGCACCTTCATGACCCCATCACCTTTGCTTGTGTCTGCTGTATCTCTCCATCCTCCCTGTCCAGCACAAGACCTGCCTTGCAGAGCCCCTCAATAAATGCTTGGTGGAAGAGCTGTTGTACAAACATATGAATACCACCTCAGGCTCCCAGAGGCTTTGTGTAAAAAATAGGCTAGCATCTGGAAGACGGTTCGAAATCTTAATATAATTCACTCACGTTCCTGCCCTCTTGAACGACTTGATTCGATTCGTCGAGCACGAAATCCCCTGAAAGCTGTCTTATCGTCGGTCCCTGTTAGGTGATGTTTGCATGGTCGGCACCCACCGGAGACCTCAGACTGCAAGGGCACGTGAGCAGTGTGTGCTGCTCCCGTCTCAGGTCCCAGCTCCCGCCTGTAGAGGGCTGTGCTCAGCCTGAGACACTTAGTCAGGGGAGGGAGCCGCCTTCACTTCCTGCCCTCTCATCTCCTGCTTCTCAAAAACAGACTTACCAGCTAGCAAATAAGAAACAGGCATCTTCTGATTTGGAAACCTTGTTCTGAATTTTTTTTAATTTGTTTATGGAAACCACACATACGTTATAGTAAAAGCCAAAAACCTTATAACTTGTTCAAATACCTAACTTTTTACTATTTGAAAAAATAAAATTCAACCACCGTAGTCAACGATTTAGCCACAGTGGGCCTATTCAAAAGAATAGGCCAGCACAGCCAGCAGTGAGTCAGGCATGTGGTGGTCAGGGGATGTGCAGTGAATGAATGAATGAATGGATGAATGAGGTGTCTGTACACCCTGGAGGCTGTTTCCAATGAGAAAGGCTCAGACTGCCTTGTGCAATGGGATCCTCATTTGCATAATGTGTTGTCTTTGAAGGGGTCTATTTTGGAAAGCATGCCCAAAATATATATGCATTATGGGTGTGCGTATTTTAAATGAAACAAAACAAAATGCATAAAGCAAACTTGCAACATGAAAAAGACCCTCTGTGTTTATGTTATAGATTGTCTTATGCAATGTGTCTCATAGCTGTAGATACCTAGGTGTGTAGAGGCACACACATGCATGCGCAAGCACACGTATGCACATGCATGAAAGGAAATGTTGACGTTTGTAGGTTTTCACGCAGTTTAGTGAATCTTAATTTTGCTTCTGTCCAGACTATCTTCTCCGCTTTTCTAGTTTTATAAAAGAAAACAACAACAAAAGCGCACGGCTCTGGTCCCCTGGCTTTACAAGTGAACATGGCACTAGGGGACAGTGTCCCATTACCAGCCTCCTGGAGTGCACCGGGGATACGACGTTTCTATTGTTGACCATGCATCAGAAAGGTGTTATACCCTTAAAATGTTCAAATTAGATATTCTACTGAATGTCTTCTTGGCCATCGCTGTAGACAATTTGGCTGATGCTGAAAGTTTGAATACTGCTCAGAAAGAGGAAGCTGAAGAAAAGGAAAGAAAAAAGATTGCCAGGTAACCCTGTTTTCACCTAAGTTACTGCAGGTGAGGCCTGGCGGAGCCACACAGACTCCACAGCAGCCGCGACCCCACGTTGCTGCTCAGTGGTGATTGTGGATGGCCACGTGGGGCTGGCCCAAAAGGCTGGAATCTGGGGCAGAGCCCGGGCTCTTGGCTCGCATTCCCTCAGAACTGAGAGTGGGAGTCACATGTCCCCATGCCTAACGAATCGCTGCGGTTAATTTTGGCACCATAAAATAAATGATGCATTCAGTGCTGATTAGCTTTTGGATGAGAATTCTAATAAGATGACCCATGAAATGAATCCAGTGCCCTGAGTGAGCAGGAAGCTCTGAGTGTGGGTTGTGCTGTGTTCTGGCTGGTAGGGTGGTTTCCAGTGAAATGCTGTCCTTCCTGGGCCGCTGCTGATGCAGAGCCCTGGTGAGGGCTTTTATTCGCAGCAGCATAGTTACTTGGTTTCTTGGGTTCTGTCCTCTCCTCTGTAGAAAAGAAAGCCTGGAAAATAAAAAGAACCACAAGCCGGAAGTCAATCAGATAGCCAACAGTGACAACAAGGTACATGATCTGAAATGTTTCCCCCCCTTTCTGTTTCAAAATGATTCACCATAATAGTGCACTTTCCACCATGAGAGTGTGCTGTGTGATATTTCAGTGAGTATGGCACACTCCTGTAGGGGCTGGCCTCCGGGGGTTCTGAGCGAATTTAGGCACTTCACTGGTAATTAGCCAGTATTTTACCACAGAACCAGTGTGTTAGATGTTTGACTGGTCTGACCACTTATTTTCCTTTATTGGGCTTGTGCAATCAGACCTGACCTGTGAGTGTTTTCTCAGTGGGGATTGAAATCCAGGGCTGTGAATGGGTATCTGCCCGAGGAGACCGCAGGGCGAGGGCCTGTGTGCTCTGGCCTGTTCTGTGAAACCCTCTCCCACGGATGATAGCTCTGGGCTTCTCATTCACCTGGTTGTCTGTTCATTGAATCAGTAAATACTTTTTGTACAGTTACCATGTGTGAGAGACTGGGGACTGAGACTGAACATGACCAACAAGTTCCCTAGCTGCATGGCGCTCACTTTCAGTATGTGATGCTGCTGGGCGCTGTGACCACAGCTGGGAGGGTGTCGCCTCGTCTGCCCTCAGACCTCAGTCTCCACAGGGTCACTGCCTGGGCATCTGCTGCCCTTGCACACTCACGACCGTCACACTCTGAAGGGACTTTTCTGCCCCATTCTGAGTGGCAGAGTTGAGTCCTCACTGTGGCATTTAAGTCAGAATCTCCCCTACTCCCAAGATCTCTCTGTCATCCTAGGTCATAATTGATGAGTACCAAGAAGAGGATGAGGACAAGGACCCCTACCCACCCTGCGATGTGCCAGGTATGGTGACGGGCTTGGCCACCACTCTACGATCAGCGGCTGCCTCTGTGGCTGCTAGCCAGCTGGATGCACGCTGGACCGCCGAGGTCGCCTGGCTGCCGAGGCCATGAGTCCAGTCCCCTGCTTTTTCTCTGGGTCACAGGCAGCTTACATAACCCACATTCCAGGTGGTGGGAGAGAAAGTATAGGTGGATCAGGATAACCCCAGCCTTTGCTGGGAGATCTCTCTAGGGACAACCAATAATTACAACTCGCCTGACACTTTCCCATTTGACCGGTGCCTTTATTGGCTGATGTAGGAGGGACTGTGGTGGTAGAGGAGCTCAGGGGACTGATCATGTGTGACTTGAAGCCCCACACAGTGTTTTGGGCCGAAGCTGAGCAAGGAGGTCACTGGGGACACAGCTGTGCTGGGGGATGGCCATGGGAATTACATTGTTACTGCCTCTTACCTACGCTTAGATCTTCAACTGCTGGGCACCTCAGCCCCGCAACTACACACACTCACGTGCAGGCAAGCTGCTCAGTCCCTGCCTCACCCCCGACACACACACAGCCCATATTCTAAAGAGTTTTGATTCTTGAAGGCTGATAGATGTTGTTAAAGTTTAAGCTAAATTTCCATGTGACATCGAGAATGATTAGAACCCAAATTCAGCCTTTGTTTCATGCCTATAAAAAAGTGTCTTGTTTAAAGTAGGGGAAGAGGAAGAGGAGGAGGAGGAGGAGGATGAACCCGAGGTCCCAGCTGGCCCCCGTCCTCGCAGAATCTCGGAGCTGAACATGAAAGAGAAAATCGTCCCCATTCCGGAAGGGAGCGCCTTCTTCATTCTTAGCAAGACCAACCCGTAAGTACCCCCTCTCCAGTCACATCCCTGTGGCCCTCCAGGTTGCCTGATGGGGAGGGTGGCTGGGGACGGGGCGGCTCCTTTCTGGACCGGAACAAGGGGGCCCACCCCGGCAGGCTCTAACCCCTCCCCAGCCTTTGTCCTCTGCTCATCTCTTCCTAGCCTTGCTTTCCTGGATGTAGGGGCTGCAGGGGTGTGGCCCGGGCTGGGAGGAGCCTAGTCCAGATTCTCCTCCCCTTCATCCCTGTGCTGGGCTCAGCAGTGGTGAGATAGCTGCCTTTCCTTCGGAGCCCACGGCTCTGGCCTTCCCTGGGTGGTCACCTGTGACGTGTTCTCCATCAAAGGACCCTTTCTTCACCGCTGGGTCTTCTGTTAGGATGCTTTGGGAGGTGGGGATTTTGTCACCGACTTCTGCCCAGCGTCTTCATCCTGAGATCTAGTCCGGCTGATCACTTTTCCCTGTTGAGTTTTCTGGCAATAACTAATATTGCTCAGTGATATTTTATAGGTTGGGCTAGTCGGTTCAGCTCTATGACATCCTGCTTAACATGGCGTTGCTCATGTTAGCATGACAAGGTGCTCACCAGGAGCGTGGCCCTTGCTCACAGGTACGGGAAGAGGAAGGTGCTTCTTTACTGGCTGGGTTCTGGGTTTTCCATCATCTGGGACCGAGAGAAATGCCAGAGGGAATAGATGGCTCCTGGAGGTTCTAGGATCACAGGAGCAGTTCCTGGCCATCAGAGAAGAACTCTGTGGTTCTCAGGCCCCGGGAGACACAGGCGGGAAGCAAGGCTGGCTGTGGTCCTGAGAGACTTGCAGATTTGATGATAGCTTTTCCACTCATCACTGTTGAGAGTTTGGGCATCCCTGACGTTACTGACACCCATAGCCCACTGTCTACCTATATTGAAGGACGGATTGATTGCCTGCTCTCAGCCCTGGGCGGCCTTCCCAGACTCAGTTGCTATCAGCTTGCACCGATGGTCCAGGGCACATTTCAGCCTTAACCAGCCCCAAAGGGAGGATCTGAAGCAAGGAGTCACTTTTCCTATAGAGTTGACTCCAGTTTTAAAAGTGAAAAAAATCTTTCCAAAGAAAAACCTACATATATTCTATAGGCAAAAAAAAAATAATAATCTTTAAATTCTAAAGTCAACTGTTGGGGTGAAGGGTAGTCAGACACTGACTAGCTCCCAGACGTCAGGGGCTGCAGGGAGCTCCGATGGCCACGGAGCCATTGTGGGGGTGAGGGCCGGACGGGGGCGCTCGGCACATGTTGCCCTCCCGGCTTCACGGGACTCTGATGCCCTACTGCAGGTACACTAAGATCCTCGTGAGATTCTTGCGTGCAGATGTAACTCTCACTTCCGTTCTCAGGAGTGCTCATTATGGGTCAACTCCAAATAATAGCAATAATAATACTAATATTAATACTAATAATGCAGCCCTATGACCGAATCCCCCCGTAACAGGGCATTCACCAGGCCTCCCTCACTGCAGCCTATGTTAGCACAGCCCCGCTGCAGTACGAGAAAGGGATCGCTCCTCCCGTTCGTTGTGAGCTGCTGCGAAGATGAGCTCCCACCTCAGTCTCCCTTCTCGGTCGGGAGAGTACGCACCAGGCTTCATGTTGTAGCAGGAAACGTCACCGTCAGCCCGGGATGGAAATCCTGAGACAGCTCTTTCACGGGCTTCAGCCTCAGTTTCTTCTCCTTCAGCAGGTGGCAGTCCCCATGTTGACGGACTCTGGATGGTGTCCGTGAGCTCCCACACGGAGCCGCACCCAGGCCCAGGGTCTGCCGTGCAGGGGTTTTGAGGGGCGACGGTCAGGTGGTTCTGGTCTGCTGGGTGGGTGTGGGTGGCACAGTGATGGCCGCCCCTGCCTGACTCGGGCCAGCATGCGGGGCCGGGGTGCTGGCTGGGCGAGGTCCATGCGCCGATTCTCCCCACAGCATCCGCGTGGGCTGCCACAAGCTCATCAACCACCACGTCTTCACCAACCTCATCCTCGTCTTCATCATGCTGAGCAGCGCGTCCCTGGCCGCCGAGGACCCCATCCGCAGCCACTCCTTCAGGAACACTGTAAGCCACCGAGCGGGCGAGGACAGGCGGGTGGGTTCCTGGGTCGTCCCTGGCCTCTCCTGTCGCCCACGCAGAGCCTGGGAAGCCAAAGGGACTAAAAGCTAGAGTAGGCATCACGTTCCCCTGCAGGCACTTCACGGTTCCCACTTGTAAGTACCAGCCAGGTTTTGTCTTATCAGGACAAAGCTTTCCTGAATCGTGTACTTTAAACTTCATTTTAAATCACTTGTAGTGCATTCGGGGACCCCGCTTCTCTTCCTCTTCATTCCTGGCCGCCAATATTCTGGTCCCTCTTTCCTCCCACGGCCCAGTTCTCATCCGTGCTGTTTGGATGCTTCTGCCGAGTGGAAGACCCAGCAGGAGGGAAAGTAGAACAGATGAGGCGTGAGGCATTCCCAGGAGCTTCCTCAGGGCTGGAGGGGAAGACTTCGGTCCCACAGGGATGGCCAGTCACGAAGCTACCTGGCTGGGTCACGGGGAGAAACACAAGTCAGGGAGGTGCTGCAGTGTGGCCTTGAGTGGTTCTGTGAGAGGAAGGTGGGGCAGAGGCGGTTTTATGAAGAAAACTAGTGGAGGGTTAAGTTTTCTATAACGGGTTTCATAGCGTAGAGGTGGCACTTTGCCCTGCGGATGCTGGACAGCACGGTGCCCAAACAGTTCTTGCCTAAGAAGTCCCAGCTTAGCAGGCAGCTGGTTCCGCTGAACAGTCCCAGCGTGAGACGGTTTGGAACCAGGACCTGCTGCCTCTCCGCCCTGATACTGCAGCGCAGTTTCAGATGGTAACTCAGAACCCTCCCAGGCGAGGGCGGCCGGCGTGAGGCCATCAGGCGTCGCTGCCGTGCCTGCGTGGGCCCTGTGTCTGCTCAGGAGGTTTAGAGATTTGAGGATTAAAACCAGTCACCAGATCAGTGCCCCAGGATTTCGGTTGTGACCACCAACCCTCGTGCGGTCTTTCCATTTCCAGCCTCTCGGTTTGAAGCCTGGCAAACCCAGCCTATCAGACTGATAAACACACACTCTGACAGGAAGATAAAGAACTTTCCTCCAAGGCACGTGCTGGTGCTGATGTAACGATAACAGCCCCGAGCCTGTCTTAATCTCTACATGCAAATGGAACAAAGACCTGTGTCGTTAAGTTCCATGATAAAAATGAGACCGAAGGGAAAAATACCGTCACACGGCAGACTAGGTCCGGAGCTAGCCGGAAACACAGATTGATGGAGAATTAATTTACATCGGGGCCTCATAATCTCATTTTTTTATTGTAGTTCCTAGCCCATGAGTTTACTCCCCTGCTGCTTCCCCCAAGAATGCTGTTTTTAAATAGATGTACATATGTGTGTGTGCATTGCTTTTTAAAGCACAGTTGTTTTTTATAGTGGTAACATTTAACATGAGGTCTACCCTTTTAACAACATTTTGAGTGTACAGACGGTATTCGTAGTGATGGGCATTGTATGACAGGAGCTATGTCCACTGGACAGCTCCCCCACGTCCCCTCCCAGCCCCTGACCACCTCCATTCCACTTTCTGTCTGTGCATTTGACGACTTTATCTCATGTAATTGCGACCCTACAGTACTTTTTGTTTTGCTTTTGAACTCCGCTGAGTTATCAGTGAAAAGGAGAAAGGAGGCCGAGTGGATCTGAGAGCGCTGACCCTCGGGCGTGGGCAGCATTGTTTTTCTTGGCCGCCCAGGTGCTGTCAGCAGTGAAGTCCTGCTGTGACCGTGGAGGAAAGGAGGAGGAGCGGCAGAGGCCTGTAGTGGGTGACATGCTTTGCATGGCCTGGCCAGAAACACGGATACGCAAAGTTTATATATTCAAAAATGGATGCCCTTTGGATAAGGAATGCCCTCTGAGAAGAGAACTTAACCTCGAGCTGAGGAGAGCTGGCCTTTGGGGCAGAGGTCCTCACCTTATTGTAAGAGAGAGCAAAGGCCTCCCTGGGGTGGACGCTTCAGCAGCAGGGCCCGTGGCTCTCGGCTAGCGTTCCGCAGGCCTCGCTCCGTGCTCCGCGATGCCAGGACTGGCTTCGTGGCCGGGCAGGCAGCACTGTGCCCTCCCCGGTATCCTTATCTGTTAAAGGAAAGGAGTACCTGGCTTGCTACCAGACTCCCTTCCAATGCTGATCTGCTCAGTTCTTTCAACCTTAGACCACAGTTGTCACAACAGTAAGTAGCTGAGATGGCTGCATCTCCTGGTGGTCTCCACTGTCTCCTGGTGGCTGAGGTCCCCGCGAGCGGCCTTCCTTCAGTGGCAATCAGACCTCTTGCTGCAGCCCACCTGCCCCTCTCTCCTCCCCCACGGCCCTGAAAAAGGCAGAAAACCCAGAGGGGCAAGCCGGTTGGAGAATAGACGGTATTCTCAGGAATACTGACAAAGTAGCCTGGACTGATGATTTGTTAACCAGGTCACCTGTTCTTCGGGTGGGCCCGGGAAGGTTAAAAAGCAGTGTTGGGAGAGAGAGGGCTCAATGCAGAGTGAGTGAGGTGGTGAGTGAAACTTCCCTGAGGGCTTACCCAGCCCCCACACATCGGGGTGCAGGGAGGGGGTGGGTACTTAACTCCCTGAGGAAATGGGCTGGCATTGGAGGGGACTCCAGGAAGCTTCCGGCCCCTTTTGATGCCCCTTGCATCATTATTTACATTTCCCCACCAATCTAAAGCTCAGCTGGATGGCAACGTATTTCATTCAGCCAAGGATGCTGTTAAAAATTCAACATGTGTGTGAGGCTCTAATTTATCTGGTGCCACGAGTAATCTGTCAACGTGGTGCTCCGATGAGAAAGGGTTATTAATAAAGCACGTTTAGAAACGAGTCTCTGTCTGAGATGTGAGACTGGGGAGGGTGGGCACGAGCAGCTGAGGAGGTAAGTAGTTCCAAGTGCTCTTGGTCCATCATCCAGAGGAGCAGTGACTGGCCCGGGTGGGGCATTTGTGAGCGCTTACCTCCAGAGAGACAGGCTTGTCCCGGGAGGGCCTCCGACTGCAGGTGGGATTCACCCGTGGGCGTATGGCTGTGGGGCCTGTCCGGGTGCCCTTCTCTCATGTCGTTGTTATGCCTTTCAGATACTGGGTTACTTTGACTATGCTTTCACAGCCATCTTTACTGTTGAAATCCTGTTAAAGGTAATGGCGTTTTCATTGATCCTCACATATTCTAGTGCAGCTGTAGCAATAATAGTTTCACTTCTCTGCTTGCTTTCCAGATGCTAGGTTATGCAGACTATGTCTTCACAGCTACTTTTGCGTTTGAGATTGTTTTGAAGGTAACAGGTTCCGCAGGGTGTGTGTAAGGGGCCTGCTCCTGCGTGTGACACACCGCAAAGCAGTGTCAAGTGCTTTCGACTATTTTTGTGTTATGGGTTTTTTTTTGTCTGTGATCAAGCGTATACTTTTTATTTTTTTAATCAGAGGATTTTTTTTCCCCTGAAACTTCAACCTGTTTTTGCTCTTTCCTTTTAATCCTTGATGCATGTAGGACTTCCTGTGGCTTCATGGTAGTGATTGGAAATGATGCTTTGTTCCTTTTTTATATCCTCTGAACTGATCACAGACACATCACCGTGTGTGAACTTTGTCCCACCCTTCCCGGCATCAGAGTCGGAGGAAATGCATTTATCCCGTGAAGGGCATGGATCTCTTCTCATTTCTTTGACTGAATTACGATCCAGTGGCCTGAAAATAGTAACAGCACTATTTTCTTGCAACAGAATTTGCAAGATAACTTGAATCTGTTTGTGTTAGATATTTTCTATCTGTTTTAATGGATGGGCTTACATTTACACAGACAAAAGGAGCACCTTTTGGCCAGGGTGCCCTAAATGTACTGCCCATGCATGAGCTAACAGGTGCCATTGCTGCATGCGGTTCGTGTACTGAGGGTGAGAGCCGCCTGGGGAGCTCATTCCTGTGCACCCAGCGGCCTGGAGACTGACCGCAGAGAGCCCAGCACCCCCTGCCCCCGACTCGCGAAGTGGTGTGGGTCCTAGCAGTCCTGGATAACATGGCCTGTGACAACTGTCAGAGCAAATCATCTCCCCGTGGGGTGATGAGCTGGGAAACGAGGAATTTTAACCACAGTTTTCTTTAAACCATTTGAGGTTTTTTTGTGGGTTCATCTCAGGGGAAAAAAATGTATTTTATGTTAGACTACTATGGAACTTGGGCTCTTTACAAAATCTTCTGTAAAATGAAACCTCAATTAACGTGGCTCAGGAATAGGGTATTTATTTCCTTTCAATTATTATTATTATTATTATTACTTGGCAATGAAAACAGTGCAACACCAACTAAACAACCAATCTCTGTGTAAACATTAGTTAAAAATCTAAACATTTTAGTTCATTTTCTTGCCTTGAAGCCAGTGAATTTGGTTGTCAGTACTAAGTCAGACCTGTGCCCAGGTCCGTGAGCAGATTCTAATAGCGGTCTCCACGGTAAGGAGCACAGAGGCGGAAGGCAGTGGGTGGGCATGGGGTGAAGGGCACTCACCCAACCTCTGCTTGATCCCAGCTGCTTTTTTTTAAAAAAAATTCCCTTCTTTTCCTTAAACCAGATGGGGAAATGTTCTATTTAGTCTGTTAGCCTGGTTAATTGAGGTTTTATTTTATTTTCCACATGTCTTAGTTGTTAAATGAAGTAGTTACTTTCCAGCTTTGGGGCAAATGAAATACAGGTTTATTTAAAAGGAAAAAAATATATATATTGCTTTTCAATTTCTGTATATTTACCTCAGGTCACACAAACCTTCCACGTCATTCATGATTTTGAAAGTATTTTAGAGAGTGGAAAATAAGCTAAAACAAGGATTCAGAAAACAGAGATTTGCCAAGAAGCATCCAACATATGAAACGGTGGTTCCTGGTGGCCTTGTGAAAATTTGGAAGGCTTTTTGGTTATTTGGTTTAACACATGAAATTACCATTTTTGTAAGTCAGAAAAAGGTTGAGTGTTGGCAATTTCATATGGTCCAATTTTATTAGTTCCCAACTCTGTCTCTCCTCTCTGACACTTACCTGAGTCTTCCCCACTCTTTTACTTTTTTTAATTTATTTTTTTGTATAAACACTGAATTCTTTGTGTTTTGCTGTTTCCATTCTGGGGAACTTCCTCACCCACCTCCTTCCCCATCACCAGTAAGAGCCTCACGGGAGCACCCACGGTGTGGGCTCCAGGTGCTCGTGGCCTGTGACGGGAGAGGAGTGGGATGACTTAGGTGAGACGCGGGTGACGCTGCCTAGCCACACCCTCTCACCTAGAGAACTGAGTGGGAAGAGCGACGGTGGATGTACCACTAAGACCTTTAGGAGCAAGAAGAGGCCTCCCTGGCAAAGTACTGGTTTCTGTGTAGACAGAGCCGGTGAGTACTGGGCCCCAGCACTTTTTAAAAAATATTTTTATTGATTTTAGAGAGCGCGAGAGAGAGGAACGTTGCTGAGAGAGAAACATCGATCCCCTGTCTCCTGCACAAGCCTGCAAACCAGGCATGTGCCCTGACCGGGAATTAAAACAGTGACCTCTTGATTCATGGGTAGAAGTTCAGCCACTGAGCCACACCGGCCAGGCCCCAGCGCTTTGTCCAGCCTCTGGGTTGGAACAGTGTAGGCTCTCCCAGGGACTCAGGGCCTGAAGTAGCATTGCGTGGGGAAGCCAAGTTGTCTGGGCGGCAAGTGTGGTCACGTGGACTCTCTCCTGAGACAGGCTCTCTGGGCAAGCCAGTGTTGCTCATGTTTGAAGTTTGTTGTTGCTGTAATAAAGTCTAAATTGTTCTCTTCTTTTAATATGTCCCCAAAGTGAGCTTCCCTTTTGCCATTTTTGAACAAATTATGCAGGTGCTCAGCCCCGTTGGCTTACATTTCTGGCTTCATAATGCACGCTTGTTCGTAAAGATAGACTGTCCTCCAGGCATTGTAAAGAGCCCAGGTTTCTCTTCCTCTGGGGAGAAAAACCAGTCAGCTCACCCAGGTTCTGCCCGTAGATGACGACCTTTGGAGCGTTCCTCCACAAAGGGGCCTTCTGCCGGAACTACTTCAACTTGCTGGACATGCTGGTCGTCGGGGTGTCTCTGGTGTCCTTTGGGATCCAGTAAGTATTCCGGGGTGTGGGTGCGTACACACCAGGACTGCTGGGCAGGATGGTTTACGTGAGGAATTTTAACATGATTCGTAAAGGCTGGGCCTCGTTTTAATAATCACACTTAGGTACCTGGCAAAGCTTAATGGGTACCTAGGCCAGAAAGCACTGGGCAGTCCCTGCTTTCCTGTGTTTCTCTTGTCCTTTCCGTGCCCATTGCTAGCTTGGACTTATTATTCTCTGTGATTTGCTTTCAACAGAGAGTGAAAGAAGCCAAGTTCTAGTTCAAAGCGTTTTATCCAGCTTCCTCCAGGGCTGGCCCCAGGACCCTGAGGGCATCCTTTTGCTTCCCCATCTGTATGGGAGGGACATAGACCAGGTGGCTTCTTGGAGCCCTTTCTGCTTTGGGTAGTGAAGGTTCCCTTGATCTCCAGGACATATGACCCTTTTCCTCCAAAATTTTCACCTAGGAGGGGCCTGAGACAAGTCTCAGGGAGAGGTTAGCTCAGCTCCACACGGGACCCACCACGCTGTGCTGTGGTAGTAAAATGAGAGCCAAGTGTGACAGTCTCCGTGTTTCATCCAACTCTAATGCCCTCTGCCTTCTTTCCTCCCCGTTTCCCCCTTAGATCCAGTGCCATCTCGGTGGTGAAGATTCTCAGGGTCTTAAGGGTCCTGAGACCGCTCAGGGCCATCAACAGAGCAAAAGGACTTAAGGTTTGGGACTCTCTCCCGCAGGCTGGGCTGGCTTCGGCGGGGTTAGCTCTGTTTACTGGCTTGGCTGGGCTCGCGCTGGGCTGAGGCCTGATGGATTTTAAAGTGGGTTCACCTTTGAAAAGGACATTTCTACCCAGTGGGGTGTCCTCTTTCAAACCTGATACCATTTTTAAGTGTTATGATTGCCTTTATTTTCATTTATTTAAAATATTTTCTTTATGTAGTTACTCAGCATTTATTTTATATTATTAATCGTGTTTACTTTGGTCTTTAAATCTATTCTCACGCAGGTTGTACAAAAGAGGGTTTATGTTTTCCTAAGTTTTTTTATGGGGTGGGAAGTCCTGTGGGCCTGTGTGCCAGGCCCCCCACCCCCCGCCCCCGCCCCTTGGGAGGAAGCCAAGGTGGGACCCATTACAAGGTGCTCTTCCCAGGCAGCCATGATGCACTGGGGCTAACTCCCCACAGTTAACAGAGCCTCACAAAGTCAGGAAGTCATGCAGATGCACAGACACATAAACAGCCTTGGCTGGTATTAGTCTCCCCTTCATCCTCTCCCTGCTCTCTCCCCCCAGCACGTCGTCCAGTGCGTCTTTGTGGCCATCCGGACAATCGGCAACATCATGATCGTCACCACCCTTCTGCAGTTCATGTTTGCCTGCATCGGGGTCCAGTTGTTCAAGGTACAGGACGTGCCTTGGGGCACGAGGCCGGATGATGTCTTCAGGGGCAAGCTTGTGTTTGACTCTCTGTGTCTGTTTTGTACTCAGGGAAAGTTCTATCGCTGCACAGATGAGGCCAAAAGTAACCCTGAGGAATGCAGGTGAATGTCCCGCGCACAGGAGTGGGAAATTGGGAAGGACAGATGGAAGACTTGCAGGATTCGCCTGTGCTGGCATTTCAGAAGGCGTGGGCTCCCTGAGGCCCGTGTGCTCAACCCACGGCTGCAACGATGGAGGGTTTCTGGGGTTTTTTTGTTTGTTTGTTCTTTTGGTTTGAGGTGAAATTCACATCACATGAAGTTAGCCATTTTAAATCATATAATTCAATGGCATTTAGCACAATCTCTTTGTGGTTTAAGCACCACCTCTATCTAGTTACAAAGCTTTCATCACCTCAAAACAATGGAGAGATGGCCTTTGATGTTTTTGGTATAGACTCTACAAACTAGAGGGGAGGGGACTAAACCCTAAAATAACAATTGAAATGCCCCGGAAAGCTCACCCTACAGCAAACATGTCAAACTCAAAGGCTAACACAGGCCAAATAAATGAGGAATGCAGGCCGAGCGCGTGAGTTTGCCATACTTGCCCTACAGCCAGATGGGTAATTTTTCCACAAACCAGAACTCATAGCTCAACTCCCTGGAATTCAGGTGCCGGCTGCCATCTTCTAATAGGTTTCCTGCCACCCACATTTTAGCCATATTTCCATTCACAAGAACAGACAGAGGCGAGATAAGGTGGGAAACACTCGTACCTCTTATCCCAAGCCATGCAAAAGAATGTGAAAGCAAACATGGAAACCATGGCCTAAAGCAGCCGTGGGCAAACTACGGCCAGCGGGCCGGATCCGGCCCGTTTGAAATGAATAAAACTAAAAAAAAAGAGACCGTACCCTTTTATGTAATGATGTTTACTTTGAATTTATATTAGTTCACACAAACACTCCATCCATGCTTTTGTTCCGGCCCTCCGGTCCAGTTTAAGAACCCATTGTGGCCCTCGAGTCAAAAAGTTTGCCCACCCCTGGCCTAAAGTCTAAGACTGTGCAGAAGTCCCTGTGTCCCCATCCTTTAATGATGTCCCCAAGGGAGGTCCAGCTGCCTCCACTGGTTGGGGTTTCTTTTTAGCAGAAGGTGCAGTCAGAGAGCACCAATGTAATGTGCTGGCTCTGCTCCTGCAGGGGCACCAGGCCTGTGGGCTAGGGGTGGAGGGCGCCCCTGGAATTGAGCAGCAACAGTGTGACGTCACCTTCCTTTCCCCCTCCAAGCCTCGCTTCCTCATCTGTAAAACAAAGACATTGACTCCTTCCAGAAATGAAATTCTATGAGAAATATCGTGTGCCAGAAATTATAGAATCTTGGGGGGAACTGGGGATATTGTTGGTATCAAGAGAAGGAATTCAATTAAAGCTAAAATGCAGATTAAGAGGATGCCTGGGATGGCTTCCAGAGCTTATGGAATTCTCCAAGGCTGAAGCTTTTGGTTCTTCGGTGTACATGCTGAGCCCAGTGCGTATGAGAAATGCTTATTGTTTGGTAGTTTCCATTCGTTATCCGGCATATGCCGGTGGCTGCCTAGTTGCTCTGGGGAATACTCATTAAGCTAGTAGTTACTCGACAGTTCTGTGAACTGGAGAGGAGATTGAATACAGGGCAGGAGAAGGAGAAACACAGGCGGTGCCCCGCTCAGGTCAGTGGCCTGGCTGGCGGACCAAGCGTGTCGGTGCCTGCAGTGGGGATGGGGCAGCTGTGACCGACTTCTCGTCATGCCAAGATGACCCACATTTCTTTTCCTTTCTAGGGGGCTTTTCATCCTCTACAAGGACGGGGAGATTGATAACCCTGTGGTCCATGAGAGGCTCTGGCAAAATAGCGATTTCAATTTTGACAATGTCCTTTCTGCTATGATGGCGCTGTTCACGGTCTCCACGTTCGAGGGCTGGCCTGAGTAAGTACAGAGGGACGTCCGCAGGGAGGCGCCTCCGGCCTCAGGGCACTCCAGCCATCCTTCTCTCCTGAGTGAGTCCTGCTTTTCTCGGCAGCTTCAGGCTTTCCCTATGATTTTTTAAACTTTGGGCCACTTACCAATCACTTCTTGGCCCATAGGGCCCCTCTGTCTGATTAGACAAAGGATTAAGCTTTGTGGCCAGCCTTCAGGACTCTCAGATTTGGGGAACCAGGAAAGGAGGGTATAGCTCCTAGGCAGGGGCTCATCTCAGCTGGCTCCTGGGGAGAAGCTCTGGATGGAAAGTGGGAGCCCTCAGAGGCATCTGTTTGTCATGCCAACTCCCATTGGTAGCCATGTCAGTAAAGCTAAATAGGGTCACTAAATAGGATCTTGATAATGTCCTAAGCCATTTATCCATCCATCCACCCATCCACCCATCCACCCATCCACCCATCCATCCATCCATCCATCCATCCATCCACCCACCACCCACCCATCCATCCATCCATCCATCCACCCACCCCATCCACCAGCTCCATCCATCCATCTTTCCACCCACTCACCCATCCATCCATCCTTAGTACTAATATGTGCCAGGTGTGGATGGCTGCCATTGTGCCATGTCTTTCATTGAGGCACTCACCTGATCATTCATCAAATGTGCTTTTGGTATCAGCTCCAGGTGACATGTTCTGCTAGGCACCATGGGAAAAAACAGTTGTCTCGACATGGTTCCTCCCTTAAAAGCCCAAATTCAGTTAGTGTGTCAGGTGATCAAACCAGGCAGGAGGGTCTGGTATGTCACAGATGTGCAGAATAGGGTCCTGAAGAATGGCTAGGGTTTTGATGGGCAGAGTAAGAAAAGCAGGAAGAAGGAAGGAGGTGGAATACCAAAGGAGGGTCTCTTGTACCCTTGCTACTCTCTGTTCTCTGCTGCCCCACCCCACCTCTAGCTCCTGCAACCAGAGCATAGGTACCTACATGGATTCCTGAATGTCAAGTTCCCAGGCCTAGAGGGACTGCAGAAGGTGGACAGGCTGGTCTTCTCAGGCTGGCAGACCCCCTCTGGATGCACGGGAGAGCCAGGGAGCTCTGCAGGAGAGCCTGCAGGGAAAGGACGGCTGGGTGGGGCTGTTCATTAGGGAACTGGTGCTGAGGAGAGAAGAGGCGCAGAGTAAGATCTTTTACTCTACGGAGGTTTTGAGTCTCAGGTTTCGAACATTGTGCTTTAGCAAATCATGGGGGTAGCTGAGGGGAAATGGACAAGGTTGGGACTTGGGGCTCAGAGGAACTAGGCTCAACGCCGGGTCTGCCCCAGAGGAGTGTGACCCTGGGCACTGAGATCCCTCTCTGAGCTCCCATCCGATGGGGTGACAGTGATGTCCGCCTTTGCAGATGGATGTGACGGTGTGTAGCACAGTGCACCCAGGGGTGGGTGCCCTGGAAGTGGTGACTGTGCATCAGAATGGGGCTGAATTTAACTTGGGGCCTTATAGTAATGTCCCCTCTTCCTGTGGAGTTCTGCCTGGCCTGTATTTAATTCAGTGTGTGTTTCAGTTTGGGGAAGCTCTCTGAGTTCTTTGGAAATCCATGGTTGCTTGCTATTGTCTTTGCCAGTGTGCAGTTTTCAGTTCAGCCAGTGCCTACATGAGATGTTCCTCCTCTTCTACCTGGGAATAGGAAGGATTGTGATTGAATACTTGTGAAATCTTTTGTTTCTCATTCCTCCAAGCATCAATCACAAATATATCCCAGCTGCCCCCACTTAAGTGCTGGCTGACTGGGCCTCACGCTAACCAGGGTGCCTCAGAGACCCGCCTGTGTGTAGGGGCCTCGGGGAGGGGGCTCCCGTGCGGGGTCTGACCGTCGGTGCCACGGGGACATGCAGAAGAGGGACGCCCTGGGAAGGCAGTGGGGTGGGGGTCCCAGACTGGGTGGGGCTGTCAGCTCATTGGGTCCTTCTGCTCTCCAGGTTGCTGTACAAAGCCATCGACTCGAACGGAGAGAACGTGGGCCCGATCTACAACTACCGCGTAGAGATCTCCATCTTCTTCATCATCTACATCATCATCGTCGCTTTCTTCATGATGAACATCTTCGTGGGTTTCGTCATTGTCACGTTCCAGGAGCAGGGAGAAAAAGAGTATAAGAACTGTGAGCTGGACAAAAATCAGGTTAAAGTCACACACTGTTTGGGCTTCCATCCCTCGAGCAGGAGAGGGATTCTCTGTGGATGGTTTCCCCACGCACAGCGGAAGGAGCTGCCTGTGTGTGTCCCTGAGCTTTGGGCCCTGCTCAGAGCACACCCATGGCCAGTCTGAGTCATTGCTGTTGAAAGTGAGGTTGTCAGATTCAGACTTGACTTTGTTATTGTGGGATCCACCCCCAGACCTGAGCCACCTCTGTGGTCAACCCACCGGTGACAGCTCTCAGTCTCATCTGGTGGTGTGTCCAGAGGCTGGAAGGCACCAGTGATGCTCCCAGAGCTCCTAACGACAATCTTTTATCTCCTCAGCCTCAGCACTGTTGGCATTTCAGGTCGAGAGTTATTGCTGTGCTTTGTAGCGTGTTTAGCAGCATCCCTGGCCTCTACTTGCTAGATTCCAGTAGCACGCCCCAACCCCTGTTTTTGGTGACAACCCCAAACATCTCCAGATGTTGTCAAATGTCTCCTGGTTGAGAACCGTTTGTTAGGAGGAAGTGTGCTATCACACCACAGGAAGAGGCGCTAACATTAAAGTTGGGACTAAGATCGCCCTGGCATCAATCTCTCGTTATCTAGCACCTTGTTTTAACCAACCCAATAGAAGCAGGGGCCTTGGCTCTGATTGTGTGATGGTGCGAGGGAGCCAAGTAGCCTGCATCCTGGTCCTGGTCTCCCTGCACCGGCTCAGGGACTGTGGGTGTGTCCCTGATCCCCTTTGGGTCTGGTCTCTTATGTCTAAATTGAGGGCATTCAGGAGCTGCCTGTAGAGGCCCCTTTCAGCCGTACAAGATTGTGAGCTGGAGATGCTGCTCTGGGAGTTTCCCCGGGTCCTCTATCGTTGGCATCTTGGTTTGATGATGACAGAGTGAGCAAGAATAGTCTGCCAGCCTGGGCTTCCTGGGGGAAGTGGCTGTGGTGAGGCAGTCTGCTGTCTCGGCTGCAGCCATGCCCACTGCGGGACACGTGAGGACAGCGCTGGCTTGGTTCCTAGGAAGCTGTTGCTTTGAGTTGTCAGGACATCGCTGCAGATTCCACCAGTGACAGTCAGAGGGAGGCCTGGCTCCGCTCCTCACCCCCGGCTGGGCAGCACCAGAGCCCAAATTATGTCACCCCTGAGATCCAGAGCAGATTATTTTTACCAGAGAGGCCTCCTTTAACACCGTATGTAAAATTGCATTTTATATTTATATCTTCACTTTTGACCATGTTACACTGGTTTGCCTTTTTTTCCTTTTTTATAGTACTTACTACCACCTAACACATTATAGAATTGCTTATTTTATACCTTAGAAAGTCATTTTCTGTGGTGAGGCAGTCTGCTGTCTCGGCTGCAGCCATGCCCACTGCGGGACACGTGAGGACAGCGCTGGCTTGGTTCCTAGGAAGCTGTTGCTTTGAGTTGTCAGGACATCGCTGCAGATTCCACCAGTGACAGTCAGAGGGAGGCCTGGCTCCGCTCCTCACCCCCGGCTGGGCCCAAATTATGTCACCCCTGAGATCCAGAGCAGACTCAGATTGGGGGTGGGGGGGACTCCCCTGGAGTCACTGTGTGAGGTCATAGCAGGGCCAGGGCCCAGACAGGAGGGAGCCTGTCTGAAGTCAGTCAGAACTGAGTCTAAGCAGAAGGATGGGAGTAGGTCTGGGCCAAGGTGCCAGCAGGGCCTGATGCCGAGCTGTCGGGGCTGGAGGCTCCTTCCGGGCTCACTGCAGAGGGTGGACCAGTCTCAGCCCCAGAGAGAAAGGGGAGGCCATCGTTACTGGCCCCGAGGTCTGAGAACGGCAAGCCCCTGAGCCTCAAACACTTGCAGATGGACACACAGCTAGCTCACCATTAGTCACTCACAGTTAACACACTCCGTCCTGAGAGGTGACTTGCATGGGTCCATCCTGGAGCAGCTGTGGGGCTCTAGTCTCAGGCAATGAACCAGCCTGCCGGGGGCTTGGGCATATCTGTGCCTCTCGTGACCTGGTCTCCCCTCCTGGAGGACAGTGTGGGCAGGAGAACTGCAGGTCTAACCCGCTGGCGTAGACAATGGCAGGAACGAGAATTGGGGCAAGGCCCACGTCTCTGCTTGTGCACCGTGCGACCTCGGGCGGGCCATTTGCAGCTCTGGGCTCAATTGTGGGTTGGTTGTTTGTTTTGGTTAATCCTCACTAGAGGATTTTTTTCCATTGATTTTAGAGAGAGTAGAAGGGAGGAGGAGGAGAAAAAGAGAGAGAGAGAGAGGGAGAGAGAGAGAGAGAGCGCCACATCAATTGGTTGCCTCCCCAAGCTCCCCAACTGAGATGGGAACCTGCAACCCAGGTTTGTGCCCTTGACCTAAATCGAACCCGCGACCCTTCAGTTCCCAAGCTGGTGCTCTAACCACTGAACATGCTGACCAGGGCTTGGCTCAGTTTTGTAATAAGTAAAATAGAAGCAGTCTGGGGGATCTGGGCACCCCGAGGGTGCTGTGACAATCAGAGGAGGGGATGGAGCTGGGGGCCCTTTGTCCCGATGCGGAGTGGTGTCCATGGGGGCTGCCAAGTAGTTTTCCCCTGGGTCCCGGGTCCCTTCCAGCAGGTGCTGCGCCGGCTCTGTCAGAGCAGGTGGGAGCTTCGTCCCCCCTCAGGACCCCCTGTTGCTCTTTTCTCCCATTGCAGCGCCAGTGTGTTGAATACGCCTTGAAAGCACGCCCCGTGCGGAGATACATCCCCAAAAACCCCTACCAGTACAAGTTCTGGTACGTGGTGAACTCCTCGCCTTTCGAATACATGATGTTTGTCCTCATCATGCTCAACACACTCTGCTTGGCCATGCAGGTAAAGATGGAGGCGCGTGGAGATGGGGATCATGTCTGGGCCTTCTGCACAGTCCATGCCCCGGATGTGAGGGTGGAAGGCCAGCCTCTCACCAGAGGATGGGTTTGATTTCTGATGAGTCAGGGCTGTAGTTTGATTAGAGTCCGGTCTTGGCTAACTGTCATCACGGTGGGAGTTTAAGAGACTGTCTGTACAGCGTGGCCATAGGTAACATTTCCGTGGAGCCGGAGCATTCAATTCTGTAACCTTTACTGGGGCTCCTGGGGCCTGGAGTGGCGGAGGACTGCCGCTCTGTGTATGTGGAGTTGGATAGACGGGTTCCAATCCTGACTGGACTCCTCACTGGGGGCAGGGGAGAGGGGGCAATCTTGGGAAAGTTATTTACATCCCAAGGCTGCTTTTTTTATTGCTAAAATCGGAAGTCCATCATGCCTGTCTCGGATATAAAGTTCATGTTGGATAATTTGTGCCTGGCACTTTGCTCTGGGCCTGTTACCCAGTGTTGGAAAACAACATACAAGTCACATCCTGTCCTCAGGAGCTGTCAGTGTGCGGTGGGGACCCTCCCGTTCATGGAGTAGTGAGTTTGGTCTGCATCACAGCTATCCTCTGCTCACATTGGGGGCCAGGAGGACAACACACCTCAGTGGGCCACACTGGATTACAGTGTATTAGCTTTTAATATAATTCTATATATTTAATATAAACACTATAATTACTAGACTTACTAGTTAACCTTTCCAGTAGTTTATTGCCTAGTTGCATTAGGACAAGAAGCAAAAACCAAGGTCTAGATTCAGTTTCACATTGACTTGAAGAGTGTGAGCAAGCCAACTCCCAAAGCTGTCTGGAAAATGGGTCTAAAGACAGCCCGTGACAGATTTCCTAGCGCTTTCCTTTAATGTGAGAAACCTTTATGCACGAGAAGGACCATGTGCTGATGTAGGGGGAAAGGGGAAGTCAAGATAATGCTGCCTTTTATTGAACATGGAACTAAATGGCATAAAGTTTAGGCCTAAGCAAATCCTACCTTTATTCATGGACATTTGGGCGGGTTCTGCATTGTGCCTGGGTCATGGCGCTGAGTGTGATCTCTGCCAGAAGGAGGGACAGGTTCCTTTTATCCTGAGCAGAGACAATTGATGCCTTTCCCCTTCAGCATCCAGTCATCCTCACCTTGCCAAGGCCCCTGCACTTTGTGGGGAGGGCTTGTGACCTGACAGTGCCAGTGGGGTCACCGGGAGAGGGTGCCTGTGTCCCCAGAGGGCAGTCGCCTGCCGGGAGGAAGGGCTGGGGGCCTCCTTCTGTGAGCCTGGAAGGGGCCTCTGAGAGCTGTCCTTCCGTCTCCGTCCACAGCACTATGAGCAGTCCAAGATGTTTAATGACGCCATGGACATCCTGAACATGGTCTTCACTGGGGTGTTCACTGTCGAGATGGTTTTGAAGGTCATTGCGTTTAAGCCTAAGGTGAGTTGCTGGAACCATTTCACAGAGGCTGTTGCTGAATCACCCCAGAGAAGCACCCACTTCCTGTTAGTCTTGTGTCAGTGAATTATGCTGAATTGTTCTGGCTGCTAACTGGGTTATCACCTGCAAACATTAAAATCTGATTAGGGCATCTGTATACATATGGGACAATAAATCTGCAAAAACAAAACCTCATCAAAACAATTCTAAGAAGAAGAAGAAGAAGGGAGGAGAGCATTGGGAATTGGTGGGATGGAGGTTGTTTTGAACCTAGTTTCTGTTTCTAGAACAGCATTATCAGGTTGTCTGCAGGAGACTTTCTTCGTTACTGGAGCACTTTCACATCACCCATCAGAAAGAATTCGGCCCTGATTTTACTTTTAGATTTCTAGGAAAAAGACATTGGTTTTGTGTGTTCTTGGTCTACAGCATCTTTTTCACCTTTTATGGAAACTTCTACCCGCTGCAGACCTCTCAGAGCCATACCATTTTTTTGTTTTTTTAATTTAGAAACTTTTAACTTTAAGACAAAACAAGACATGAAGTATGTTAAACTGTGTTGGACAGTTCAGCATATTGTGTCTCCTTTGGGAAGGAGTGGATCCATCTCACATCCATCAGTGTCTGTAATATAACAGAAAGGCAGATAGGACAATGTCAAAGAGCACACCCAAGTCTGGAGTCAAATCCCTGCTCTCCACCAGCTCATCGAACAAGTTCCTTAACAGCTAGATGCCTCCGTTTCCTCTGCCATAAAGCGAAGACATGATAGTCCTGTGTCACAGGGTGCTCTGAGGAGGAAAGAATCCCTAGGTGCGCCATGCTTGGGCAAGTGGTACCAGGCTGTAGATGTGTCAGGTGGTCACAGGCTGTAGTACTGTGACTGTGACCACCACCACCACCACCACTACCATGTTCCCTTCAACCAACAATGTTCCCTTGTTCTAAAACCGTGGGCAGAGCAGCAATCCTGGCTGAGCTGTATCATTTTCTAGCAAAGCCCCAAATTGTCAGTCAGAGGACGACAAGCTCAGCGACCCAGTTATTGGTTCATCTGTATGGAGGTACCTGGCAAGACTAATTTATTCTTGGATTATGAAATGATTTAAGTACTCCTTACTTACACGGAATTCTAATTCAAAACTGTTCCTTTCTTTAATTTGAATTAATTTCTATGCAATCTTTGTCAGCTCTTTGTGGACCCAAAAGAAAGGACACTAGTAAGTGACCAGTGGGGGCGAGTGAAGTGGGGTCAGATCCGGCACCTTATGCATGGCCAGATGTTCTCTCCTGTGACTTGTCCACACCTCCACATACCAGCGTTCCCTCCTTTTCCAAATTCATCTTAATTTCCTTTGGAAATTTTGGTTTGCTTCCCTCTCACCTTCTTTGAGTGATATTTGCCTGGACTGATGGAAGTTTGCAAAATAACGACATCAGAAGTCCTTGAGAAATGCAACACGGATCATATCTATGGAGCATTTCCCAGATCCCCACGCCACGTCTCCCCTCCCCTCACTGGTGATTATGCTCTGAGGTTTCCAAAAGCTTGTTTGTTTTAGGCTGAGAAGGCCCACTTGCCCATGGCATGTGTGTGAGTATGTATCAGTGTGTGTGCGCTTGTGTCAGTGTATGTGTTTGTGTGAGTGTGAATGTGTGTGAATTTGTGTGTGAGTGTGTGAGCGCATACCTGTAGCCGGCCATTGCATCAATGGCTCGTTGCACACTACTCTGCCCAGTAAACTGCTGATACCAAACCTGGGGTGCGGGGGGAGTTCAGTGGCCTGTTAACAGACTGGAGGTACAGGGGAAAATTTATAATCAGTACTGATCAACCAGAGTTTTCAAATGAGTGATTTCCGCTAGACATTGTGCTGCTTTGTAGTTTTACTTAGTAAGATATTTTCATAGCATAAGACAACCTCAGGTTGCAATTGAGAAAGCTTGTCACAGCGATAGCAGTCTCTCTGTGCTTGGGGGAGCTCTGCCACTGGGTCACCAAAGTCAGCAGGAGGGGCTTTATGCTGCTTTGTGCCTGGAGAGCAAAGGACAATCACTTCACCAAGTTGCATGCAAAGCTCTGCCTAGAGCACTCACTGGCTTATCCTCATCTTCTCTTCATTGTTAACATCCAGCCCCCTCCAGTCGGCCTGCTCAGGGACCCTGTGAGAGGCTGCAGGGGGAAGATTCTTCGAGGAGATGGCCACATGGACAGAGGAGTGGGAAACCTGGCCCATCAGTCTCATAGGAAAGTGTCTCCTGGGAGGAGCTTTGTAACAGGGACTCCGAAGTGAGGGCCAAACCTTCTAGGAGAACTTCAGCATCTGTGCCAGGGCAGCCTGGGTCACAGCTGTTTGTCATTCAGATACAGGCGGTGAGCTGAACAAAACCCTTCTTGGTAGACGTAGGAGGAAAGGTTAAAGCAAATCCAGAGACCTGACCCTGGGGACTTCTTTCCTATTCAGACCCTGACGGAGAGATGGGGCCTCATGAGCGAGAGAGCACAGTTGGAGGGGCATGGTCCCAGGACCACGAGGGGAGGTCACCCGGCTGCCATAAGCAGGAAGGGCTGAAGTGGGCAGACAGAGTAGGAAGCCCAAAGCTGGAGGCTTCCTGGTGGGGAGGCAGGCTCACGATGGGCAGAGTTGAGTTGGTGAGGTAAGAGTGCAAGGCCTGGAGTGGGGCGGGAGCCAGGTGAAGGGGGCAATAGGGAGAAAATAGGGGACATCTGTAATACTCTCAACAACAAAAATAATTTTTTTTAAAAAGGAGTTCAAGGTGGTAAGAAGCCACAGAGCCAAGGAGTAGGGCAGCAATTTTCAACCGGTGTGCCACACAAATTTTTAAAACTTGCAGTTCCCGGCTGAGCACTGACCTCCTTCCCTTAGATTGTCGATAAAACAATGACAACAGCCAGCACAGCAATAGCGGTCCAGTGTGAATGAATCAAAATTCTCCCTATATTGTTATTTTTTGGTGTGCTGCAGAATTTTAATAATTAGTTTATGTGTGCCATGAGATGACAAATGTTAAAAACTGATGGATCAGGACAAAGCAAGCAGGCTGTTTAGTGTGTAGTGTCAGCTTCCAAGGGAAACCCACCTGCCAGGCATTGACCTCATGCACTTCAGGTTGTGCTGTCGACTTGGAGTTGACCTTGAAGTGGACTTTGGAGTGGTCCGTGCAGCCCGAGGGTTTTGAGTGAGCAACAAGCCCCGTCCCCCTGGCCTTGCCCCCCAGTGTTCCCCAGGAAGCCCCTGGAATCCTCTGACGAATTCTCTTGTTCCAAGGAGGGGCATGAAGGGCCTTTTCCAAAGTACTGGCTCCCACAGGTAAAGAGAACAGGTCATGTTTGAGGCTCCCTCTTTGTGCTTCTAGATGTCACCCACCTGCTGTGTGGTCCAGTACGTGTTCAGCCAGGTTGCTGGCCGTGGTCATGGACTTATCCCCAGAGAGGCACACGTTGTTCTCAAGACTTAGGCGATCAAGTATTTTGATCTTGCTTCTGCCTCAAAAAGGGCTAATTTATGTGCCTAGCCACTTGGGCTTGGCAAGAGTACAGAGTAGTTAGGAAAGAAGTGAGTTTTAGTGCTGTCCACATGCTTCCGTGCAGAGCTAACGCACAGCAGACACTGGGCATCTGGTCCCATTCTGGGAGGCAGTCCCCACCCCAGGGTCCCCACCCCAGGATCACTGCCCCAGGGTCCCAGCAGGCGTGGGGCTCATTAAGAAAACCTTAGCAATCTTCCTAGCAGACGTTCTCCACTCCCTAGGACATTCTCCACTCACCTGGTAAAATGTGTACCTGCCTAGGCCATCACTTGACCTTTGCAAAGGCTTATGCTAGTTAGAAAACTGACAGCTACAGCTTCTATAAAAAGTTGGCACTATGGGTCATACCTTGAGTCCAATGACGCCCATAACATCCCAATCTCTCCTGCCTCCTTTCCGAGTTACCCTGACTGCTACGCCATCTCCCTGTCTCTGGCCTCAGCCCCTCGCTGTTCATCTTCCACAGGCTCCCATGTCAAAGTCTCCACTAAACCTCGGCCCATTTACGTTCCTGCCTCATTTCCAGCCACTCTCTTCCTGTCATTCCTTCTCCACACCCATCCCTAGCTGTTTATGCGCTAGACTTTGCCATGGCACATGCTTCTGCCTATTATCCTTTAACCTTTCTGAATTGTTGGCTCCTCTGTGACACTGTCCCTACCAACCCAGCCCGAGCCAGCCCCTTCCCATGCATTGTATGGTAAGATGCCTGTGGTGCGTTAGCATCATCATTGCTACTCCACGCCTCTCTCCACTAGCGATGCCACAGGCTGGGTCTTCTCTGTCTCCCACGATGCCTGCTGCAGGCTGGTTACTCAATAAAGACTAGGATTGTAGACAGGAATAAATGGATGAGCCTGTAGGGATACCCTCTTGGCATAAGGGCACCTGGTTTTCTATCACAGGATATTTGGGCAGAGTAGAGGTGGGCAAAAGTGAGTATGTTGTCCTTAAACCCTCACTTGACCTTTGCAAAGGCTTATGCTAGTTAGAAAGCTGCCAGCTACAGCTTCATGAAAAGTTGGCACTATGGGTCATACCTTGGGTCCAATCCTGCCCTGGCAGAAACTGGTAAATGACCTGGCTGCCATGGTCAACCACAGGAGCAGGTCCTTTGTAAAAGGCTTCTTGTGATCTGCAGATGAGAGAGAGACTCTGGGCAGCAAACAGACCCTGGGCTTGGGCTCCTGTTTCCCATATGCAGCCATTCCACAGGCTTCCTCCCCCATGGTGCCAAGCCTGTGCTACCTCCTGGCCTCAGACCAGACATTGACAGGCAACCAGGACAGAATTCATGGATGTAATGGAGTTGCCTGGCCTCAAGGCCGACATTAGTCTGGTTTCTGATTTTAAATGTTTGGAGTCAAAATTGTTTTGGGTCATAGATGCTATTGCAAGTGGGTGATTTCCTGGATCTTTTCAAGCAGGTGGCGCTGGACAAAAGTAATCTAAGGGCTGACTCTGGCTGGGCTGGTAGGGGCTGCTGGTTCCACTTTGCTGGGGTCCAGCCCCAGCGGGTCCAGGGGTCCCCAAAGGTGTGGACGGAGTCAGCGAAGAAGGAATGACACGGAGACAGCGTTCAGTTGATCAGCAGCCTAGCCAGGATCTCAAGCCAAGTTCTGGTTAGGATCTCCAGCCAGGTTCTGTCCAGGTTCTCCAGCCAGGTTCTGTCGCCAGGTTCTGTTGCCAGGTTCTTCAGCGAGGTTC